GAACTCAGGTAAAAATATAAGTATGGCCATGCACATACCTGATAGCTTTGAGGGGCAGAGACAAAAGATTTGCTAGGGCTTGCTAGTTTCCAATATAACTTCAAGTAAAGCGGAAGACACTTTCTCAAGGGAATATGGCAGAAAATATTAGAGCAAGATTCCATACGCCTTCCTTTGGTCTCTGTTGTGCAGCTACCCAGATCTGTGTTTATAGGGCACAAATACACACACAAAAAAGATTAAGAGGTAGTGGAATCTGCCCTGTATCTGACAAATTCATATTGAAATTTTGCAGTGTCTTCTGTTGGCATGGTGGTGATGAAACAAAAATTTTCCTGTCTTGTGACTGGTACATCAAAATTGTGCAGCCCCTTTAATGGGCATTTTACTGGTATAGATCAGCCCTTGAGATGAAGGTTGTGGTTTGAAAGAAAATGGCCACCAAAGGGAGTGGCACTTTAGGAGGTGTGGCTTTGTTGGAGTGGATGTAACCTTGTAGGAGGAAGTGTGTCACTGAGGAGGTGGACTTTGAGGTCTCATATATGCTCAAACTACACACACCCATACAGATCACTTCCTGTTGCCGGCAATATGTAGGACTCCCAGCTACCTCTTCAGTAACATATCTGCCTGTGCACCACTGTGTTCCACCATTATGATAAAAAAGTAAACCTCAATTAAATATTTACCTTATAAAAACTGCTGTGATCTTGGTGTCTTTTCATAACAATAGACACCCTAAGAAATTCAGATAGTCCCATGTTTCAGAGTCTATCCCTAAAACAAACGTAGGTCAAAAAGAGTGCACACACACACACACGAGGCTCATCATTATATCACATGTTGAAAAGTATTTGCTAGGCATGTTTTATAGCATTATGAGGACATTAGATACTTATTATACAATGAGATAAATTAATAATCATTGCATTGCACTGTCATTAAGAACCAGGAATTTCCTTGAAAGGGAAATTAGAGAAAATAGTCAAAGTTAAGTAAAACTCTTGGGTTCACCTTTGAAATAGCAATGATTTTTTAATGATTTTATCTTAAAGTGAAACAAACCCAAAACCCTACTCTACATAAAGTCTACAGCTCCAGTAACAAGCAGTAAAATGTTTTATCAACACATGAATAAAGCTTCCTAATGTAATAAACTATCTACCACATGAGATGTCAATGTGTATTCTTAAAAGAAAAATGCAAATTTAGATAAATATGATAAACTCAGCATCTCTTTCATGGAAATTATATTTTACATTATAATATTAAATGTTCTCTCTGGGCATAATGATTCACAGCCCTAATCCCAGCACTTGGAAGGTTGAAGCAGTAGGATTACCAGGGTTCAAGACGACCATAGCCTACAAGGATAGGTCTAGGGTAACTGGGGAATACATAATGAGAATCTAGGTTTAAAAATATGATACACAAAGAAGTCAATTAAACGCTCCAAGAAAATCTCTCAGTAACGAACCCTAAACTTTTCTTAGCACAGCACATATCTTGAGACCGCTGTGTGTTTTCAGGAAGAATATTAGAGATTATGGAATTTATATTGCTTCATTATGGCACAAATATAACCTAAAAATAACAGGAAATGTTCATGTTGAATAAGATGAAGTCCTGATATTATGTATTTAGTGAATTTATAGTTTACCATTTGAGGACCAGTGAAATATCTCAGTGGGCAAAGGTATGTGCTTCACATTCTAATGACCTGAGTTTGATATCTATGTCCTACCATGGAAAGAACCTTAACTCTCCACAGAGAAGTATAAACACACACACACATGCACACACACACACACACACACACACACACACACACACATTTGAGTATACACAGACACATGCAAGTAAATATTATTTTGAAAGAAGTAAAATCCATTTGTTTTATGATTTGTTCATCCATACCTTTTCTTTAAGAAAGGGTCTTATCTGTGCCAGGTTGGCCTTAAAATCTTGAACTTCTCACCTTGACCTCCCAAGTGCTGAGATGATAGGCACCTGCCAATTACACCTGGCATGATACATAATATAACACACAGGTCTTTGAGCATCTGCTAAATATTCAGTGCTTTGTTTTTTGTCATGGAGACAGATGGAATATAAATTGTCATGGAGACCTTTGAGCGAAGCTTTATAATATTCTGACTATTGATATAATAGAATATTGTAATGTTTTTTGAAACTAACAAGCAAGGTATAGGAAGGGGAAATTAAACATGAGGGGTAAAAGCCAGACAAAGGACTTCCTATCAAAGGATGGCAGAGTATATGAGCAAGCCAGGTGAATTAACAATGGTCACACATGTGTAGAAGACATGGAGGTTATTGTTAATCTGTTTCTCCTTTTAAATAAAGTCTCAGGAGCATGGTCACCTTACCGTGAGCTAAACAAGGGCAATACCAATAGACAGGCAAGAGTGGACAGGGAAAGTTCATGAGACCTCAATACACAAAGAACTACAGGCAACTACACAATTCTGAGAGCAGGAAATATAGTCTTTTCCAGGGAAATGAGTAGCAATTGGCTATATAATACCAAATGGTCATCCCTAAAAATATATACAAGTAACATTATATTAACTGACTAAACTACATTTAGGAATATATATGTATATGCATATATGCATATGACAACAGTTAATGAAAAAGGAGGCCATGAATTGGAAATAGAGCAAGGAGAGTATATGGGAGAGCTTAGAAAGAGGGAAGAGAAGGGGGAAATATTAAAATTATATTATAATCTCCAAAATAAAAGAAATTTAAAAAGAATACTCTTTTTTATTATTTATTTTATTTTCCAGTTTAAATTTAGATAAGAAACAAGGTTGCTTCACAAGTCAGTTCCAGGTCCCTCTCCCTTTCCCTCCCCTCCTCCCGTGCCCTCCCCCCAACCCCCCCCCCGTTATCCCCACATTCCCCAGGGAGGGTGAGGCCCTCCATGGGGGTGTCCATAGTCTGTCATTTCATATAGGGCAGGGCCTAGACCCTTCCCCAAGAGTTCAGGGTGAGAGTGCACCTCACATTGTTCTATGGGAGTCCAAAGTCCGTGTGTATACTTGGGATGGGTACTGATCTGCTGCCCAAGGCTCTATAGATTACCTAGGCCTCCTCACTGACACCCAGATTCAGGGGGTCTTGATCAGTCCCATGCTGGATTCCCAGGCTGATGCCTGGGATTCAAGAGTTAACCTTTGTCTGGTCAGCTGTTTCTGGGGGTTAAACCAGCCCAGTCTTAATCCCTTTGATCATCAGTCTTCCTTCTCTGTTACTGGCTTTCTTGAGTTCAGCTCAGTACTTAACCCAGGGAGTCTGCCTCTTCTTCGATCAGCCACTAAATGAAGTTTCTGTTTCCCAGACTCTCTGGCCATAGGATTGTAGGCTGGCCCTCCCCAGATCTATGTCTAAAATCCATATATGAGAGAGTACATGCCATGTTTCTCTTTTTGTAACTGGGTTATCTCACTCAGGATGGTTTCTTTAAAGTACACACACACACACACACATACCTATATCACAAATAATAAAAATCCAGATATACGTATTGGTGTTAAAGCTGAAGATAGAGAAGCAAAGCAGCCTGTCAGTACCTCTTACCTTTATTAAGGCTGAAATGGGAATCCATCTTTCCTGTGACTGGAAACTGAATCTCACATGAGACCCTTTGTTTCTTCCTTGTATACCTTTCTAGTGTTGGGATTAAAGGCATGAGCTCTGTTACTTTTTTAGATTTATTGACTCTCCTGTAGCCCTGGGTGGCCTTGAACTCACAGAGATTCACCTGCCTCTGTCTCCTGAGTCATGAGATTAAAGGTGTGTGACACCACTTTAGTTAGCTTCTGTGGCTAACTAGTGTGGCTGGCTTTGCAGTCTTTGGTGGCTTTACTAGATCATAAACAATATATCATCACACACATCAAATAGGCAAACAAATCTGGGGACAAGATAGAGAAAGGTCAATATGGTAATAACATGGTCTATGGTATGACAAACTGAGCTGCTACCATTGCTTTCCCACTAATAGAATGAGGAAATAGAATATGTAACTCACCAAATGATAATGGAAGTTAGAGAAGTGTAAAGATAAAAGGTGTTTTCAATGTGCATGGAAGCAGAGTACTTGTCAGCTGTCACCATGATTGTGCAGATTGGGCCAAGAACAACTACCTATTATGAACAGGGGAAAAGCGTTACATAAAATTCTGTGATTGGTAGAGGGCTGGTAAGAGATTATGAGTGAGTCTTGATTGTGGTTGTGAGCTCTGCCATTTGCAGAGACAAACATGGAGAATGATCCATTAAATGAATACTTCTAGTCTCACATTCTGATAAAAGATCAAGAAATGCTAAAACACAAATATTGGTAGTGTGTCCAAAATGTTGTGGATTATCTGAGGTAGAATTGGTAAGACTGTGACATATATTACATTTGTCTGTGAGAGACAGTGGAAGAAAAATTATAAAAAATTTAAGACCAGATTTTCTGCTCTGAGTATCCAAATCTCCAGTAATGATCACAGTGAATACAGGAGCACACCAGGAATGCAGGTATGGGAAGGATAATGAGTTCAGGCTTGCAGGTCTGTTCCTGTCTGTCATGATACTATTGTTCCTTCCAGAGAAAACAACCTTTAAAGACTTTGATATAGATTCCTCACCTCCCTCTAAACTAAAATAGAATATGTGAAACACTTTGTGTGGTAGGAACACATTACTCCAGGTTCCATGTTAGCTCATGACTAAAGACATCATAGTGTTCCTTTGAAGTCATTCTGTGCTATATCTCATAAATCCAAACAGTCAATGTGATGGTCTCTAAAGGACAAGTCCACAAATTAGAAAAAATAGGGTATGATGACCACAGGTGACTCTGTGGCTTGTACTGTTAGACTTCCCAAATATTTAATATCTTCATGCATGATCAAAAGTAGTTGGAAATGTGCACTCCCACTCAACTCGGATCTCTCTGTGTTTCTTGTTTTCATGTGCAGGACAGGAGCGAATTGGAAAAGACTCCAATTATGAGCAGGAGGGTAAAGTTCAGTTTGTGATTGATGCTGTCTATGCCATGGCACATGCCCTTCATCACATGAATAAGGATCTGTGTGCTGATTATCGTGGAGTATGCCCAGAGATGGAGCAAGCAGGGGGAAAGAAGTTGTTGAAGTATATCCGCAATGTTAATTTCAATGGTGAGTCTGTAAATGTCTGTACTGAAGGGATTGTTAAGCAAATATCATCTCCATTTCATAAGTTACAGAAATTACATGCCATTGACTCAGGTAAAATCAAAACCATGCTAATTATATACTTTCAAGTGATCAAGCCAGTGTGGGAATGGGTGAAGAAATGAAACTTAGAAAAGAGAATGAATGACTACATACTAGTGGGCTATGGTATGTTCTTTTATTTTGACATCCAGGTCTTCTACATGAAGCCATTTTTTTAGTGAATATAGGTAAGGGAGAGAGGAAAGAAAGGAAGAAGAAGATGTAGGAGATGCATGGTTGTGAGATCATAAGGGATGGTTGAAAATTGTTATACAAACTACATCTCAGGTTATGAGCCTACCCCTCAAACTAATATATCCTCCTATAATAAGCTACCCAAAACAGACTAGTAAACATAAGTGAACGAAATGAATTAATAGTGCAGACATGACAGGCAATACTTTCCCTATAGTCTGAGTCTTATGATGTCTTGATGCTTTGCATAACAAAACTTAAGGAATTCAATTAAAACTCAAAGTGTGAGTGATATAACATTCAATATATCTTGTAATAAAAAAATCTACCTGTATCACAAATTACAACCCTAGCAACAATAAACATGTTAATGAGGAAAACATGAAGTAAACTTGGGGAAACAATTCCTGACTATTAAAGACTAGAGAAAAATCACCAAGTTCAGGCAACTCACATATCTAGTGTCTTAATTAGGCTTTCTGTTGCTGTGATAAAGAGCCATGACCAAAATCAATTGGCAGAGGAAAGGGTTTATTTAGAGTCTCTTTCGCAGAACAATCCCTAATAGATGGAAGTGAAGGCAGGAACCTGGAAGCAGACTATTTAGGAACCTAATTACTGACTTGTTCCCCATGGCTTGCTCAGCGAAGGAACGCCTGCCCTTGGGTGGCACCACCCCACCTGTGCAAGGTCTTCTCTATCCATCATCAATCATGAAAATGCCCTCTAGGATTGCCTACAGGCAATCTGATGGAGGAACTTTCTCATTAGAAGTTCCTTTTTGCAGATAACTTTATTTGTGTCAAGTTGACAAAAACAAACAAATGTTAACAATAAACCAGAACAGCTAGTAAATATGAGTTTGGTAGCATTCACAATTCTGATACTAGCTTTGGCAAGAAATACAACTGAGAAAATAATAAATGTATTGCATATATTGAACAATATGTCAGGCCAGTAAATTAGTAGAAATTGTATATAATCAAAATTGCAGATATCAACAAAAATTTGTGTATATTCATATAGATATTAAGCATGATTGCACTTTTCCCAAGACTTTGGTAAGAAGTTCCATATACCGCTAGGAGCTTTTCTTTAGACCAATTGAGTACAACTCAATAATTCTGGCTTTCACATTGAAGAAAACATTGTTTCAGGTATTGATATTAGTGTCTGGAAAGTATGACCTCAGTCCCTCCAAGCAGGTAACCTTTTAGGAATGAGTGGGGTGGGAGCAATTTTTTTCCCTCTTGGTCACCTTTTCCTGCATCGCAAATACATGCAGAGGCCTGACTGCAAATGCATTCTAGTTGTCTCTATGCTGACTAATTGGGCTAATGGAAATATTTCCTAATGTAACTTTAAACAATTTTGGATATAAAAGTCTGAAATAATCACTGTATAATTAGCTAATTTAATCAGGAATATGCCTATAGCTAAACTTACTGATCTCTAGGAAATAAATGGAAATCAGGTGTATATTATAAAAACAGAACATCTCAAATATTTTTCTTTCCTCTCTGGATGAGTGATACCCATGTTCATTTTATTTGAATCTGTTTGTCACTAGTTTGAAAGGAGGCTATAGAATTTCTAAAGCATAACTTGAATTTGAGTTCAGAGTGGGTTTCTCAACATATTTGTACTATAAACAACAAACTTTAAATTACTGTGCTGGAAGAAAAGCAAAATGTTAGATGCTAACCATAAAGGTTAAAAGGTCCGGCCACATTTAAAACTGAAGTTTCCATGACAGTCAACATCAGTTTTTATACATAAAACTCCAATTGCCTTTGCTGATGCAATGGATCAAGAAACTGCTACTTCTACTCACCTGGCAAAGGTGAAGAATCCATGTTCTCCTTGGCGCCAGTAGTACGGTTTAGAATGGGCTGTTGAGCAGAAATATCAACAGAACATGAATCAGTACAGAAATTCAGATTCTGCATGACAGGAATAGAAACAAGAAGAGAAAATTTTTTGGTAAATGTTTGATGCAGAAAATAATTTGATATCTGGGTATCAGGATCCTCAGTTCTGGATGAAAAGCAGTTTCTGTCACACAATGGCATCACTACAGACTTCAGACTTGGCAAACTCCTCTCCACCTCTTGTCTGTTATTTCACAGACCCTCTAGTGTTTGGTCTCTATATGTATCTCTTTCTCAATCACTCTTTCTTTGTCTATCTACCTACCCCTGTCTCTCTTTCTCTCTGTTTTCCTCCCTCTCTATGTACCTCCCCCCACTCTATCTCTCTCTCTCTCATACCCCACTTCAATTCTCACTCTAGGCAGAGTTGATAAGAAACCACAGTGTATTGTGGCCTTGAAAGCATCCCACACATATACCAATGCCTTGTAGGTGTGACAAGTTTAAGATAACCTTAAGTCATAACCACTTTAATCTTGGTCTTTTTGCTTTGTAACTCCTAGTAAGTAGACAAAGCCAAGCTAGATCACATGGTTTGGAGGCCCACAAAAACAAAATGCTCTGTAAGAGAAACTTCTTTTCTCCTAGTGGAACGAAATGCTCTTTCCCTTCAAGACCTTCATCATGTTGTCTACATTATAAAGATCTGTCTCCTGATACTCCTATTATCCTACTATATATAACCCTATGCACAGCTGCCCATGGCTATGAGCTGGTGAATTTCCCATTAGAGTTCTTGTGGGGCCTGGAGGCATACCTCAGCAGGTAAGAGTCCACATTTCTTCAGAGGACCCTAGTTTGGTTCCCAACACAAGGGTTGGGTGGCTCCCAATTTCTTATAACTGTAGTTTAATGGCTTCTGCAAGAACCCACACTCACATACGTAAACATCCTCTCTCTCCTTTCCTCCCATTTTTCTCCCTTCATCTTGATCTATCTGTATGTCAAACATACAATTTAAAAATAAAATATATAATCCCATATTTCTTGTGAATGTTGTGAAGGGTAATTCTGCCTCAGTTCTTTCTGTGGTCCTGCTTTCATGGTTTATAACACTGCCCATCTTGACTGGTAGCTCTAGTTCTTTTATTTAGTGTTCCTGCATTCTGGCCCTCACACCTTACAGGATCTCTGCCAGCAATTACTGCCTCTTTGATATCTTCTTTCCTTTTCTATGGAATTTTGTTTTTCTCTTCTCAAAGTCCATTGAACACACTGCCTATTTTCCCTTTTAATGAGTCCAGGAATAGGTACTGTAAAAGGGGAGAGCAAAAATGAAAAAAAAAAGCCACCCTGGGAATAATAAGCCCATTTCATTAAAGAACGGATTCAGAAGGTCAAAGCTACACAATACACTATTAGAATCATCATTTAGATAAAGTGTTCATTTCCTATACTATAATTATTAACATGAACTTTAATAGGAATGGAAAAGCCATGACAAGAATCATTTTCCCTCATGTAGATTTTGAGAAGTGAAAAATATAAGGCCATGTGTCCTGTTCTGATGAAGCTTAAGCCATTGGCCATGAGATGACTTGGAGCTCTGAGCTTCAGACATTCTTTATCTCTCTGATCACAAAGCCTGAAAGGCTCCAGCCATGCAATTTAATGAATAGAAAATGCAGTAGTAGAGTAAAGCACAATATGAGTCCAAGCATCCCAAGTGAGAGAAAAGACTGCGCATCTGAATAGCAATGTCTTATTGCTCAGTGACAGGGTTAACATTTCTCCCTAATGACATGCAACATCACATTTCATCTATTGTCCTTACATACCTGGAATATTTTCTAAAAAGCAGGACACCATTGTTGAAAATTCTCTGTCATGTCATTTCTTTCTTTTTTTAAAGAAATTATTTTTTTATTTAGGTTAGAAATAATCTTGTTTCACATGTCAATCCCAGCTCCCTCGCCCTCCCCTCCTCAACTTCCCTCCCCACCAGGTCCCTCATTCCCCCACCTAATCTCCACTCCGATCCCCAGGGAGGGTGAGGCCCTCAATGGTGGATCTCCAGTGACTCTCATTTCATCCAGGGCAGGGCCTAGGCCCTCCCTCAAGACTCCTGGCTGAGAGAGCCTCCCATACTGTGACATGGGCACTCGAAGTCTATATGTATGCCAGGGATAAATACTACCCAAGGCCCCATAGATTACATAGGCCTCCTCACTGACACCCACATTCAGGGTGTCTGGGTCAGTCCTATGCTTTCCACACAGCCATCAATCTGGGTTTCAAGAGCTCCCCCTTGTTCAGGTCAACTGTTGCTGTGGGTTAAACCAGCCGAGTCTTAACTCCTTCACTCGTGAGTTCTCTTTTTCTGACACTGGATTCCAGGAGTTCAGTTCAGTGTTTGTCTGTGGGTATCTGCCTCTGCTTTCATCAATCGCTGGATGAAGTTTGTTTCCTAGACACTCTGGCAGTGGGATTGCATGCTGGCACTCCCCTGATTCATGTCTAAAATCCATAAATAAGTGAGTACATACCATGTTTGTCTTTTTGTAACTGGGTTACCTCACTCGGGATGGTTTCTTCTAGTGCCATCCATTTGCCTGCAAATTTCTAGATTCAATTGTTTTTTTTTTCTGCTGAATAGTACTCCATTGTGTAAATGTATCACATTTTTTTCTATCTACTCTTCAGTTGTGGGGCATCTAGGTTGCTTCCAGGTTCTGGCTATTACAAATAAAGCTGCTATGAACATAGTGGAACAGATGTCCTTGTTGTATGAATGTGCATCTTTTGGATATATGCCTAAGTATGGAATTTCTGGGTCTTGTGGTAGATTGATTCCCA